AGTCCACTTTTGTATCCTTCCCTTCAAGGCTCAGGGGTCCAAGATTATCTTCTGTGTCTGTGTTAATTGGTTTCCCTTTTCTTTGTTGAAGAGCTTCTATGCAGTCCTTCTGCCTAGTCTGCCATCTTGCTGGAACACCAGTGTTTTGTTCATTTAACAAAATGTATAATTAACAGTAGTATTTGATTTCCTTTCCTACTTCTATTTTTAGTTAAACTAAATAATAGTAATAATAATAAATGTTCTTACATTTCTGCATTGCTGCTCTTGCTTTTCCCTCAGTGGAGAGGAAATTTGCCTCAGAAATAAAGGTTGTTAGTTAAGGAAGATATATATCAGTACCATTTTCCACTGAGTCAATTCTGACTCATGGTGACCCTGCATATGTCAGAGTAGAACTGTGCTCCATAGGGTTTTTAGTCCTGATTTTTCAGAAGTAGGTCACCAGACTTTTCTGCTGAGGCACCTCTGGGTGGACTTGAACCCCCACCTTCTGGTTAGCAGCCAAGCACATTAACCATTTGTACCTCCCAAGAACTCCAGGGAATATAGAACCCTTGCCAAAATGCTGTGAACAGTAGAATTGAGAACAATTTTCATATTGCACTTATGACAATGAAAAAAAAAAAAACCCAAATATATCCTAGTCATTTACTGAATAAAGGGGGGAGTTCAAAACCTCAGTATGATTAGTGTTTTGAAAGATAGTGACAGGAATACAGTCTATATGTACCATATGCCTTCGAGGTAGCCATCTATTATGTCAAGTTACCTGATTGGTTGATGCCCTTCCCTAGATCTTGTCAGCACTTTTGATTTTGCAGGTGCATTTGGGGGAGATTTAACTGTGGGTTGTCTCCTGGTCTCTGCTGCTGATTCTGTTGAGGTGTTTCTTCCACGGTGAGTCAACAAGTTTATCTCGGCCAGCTCAGCGTGAATCAAAGCTGAAACCCACTCTTTTTCTGATTAAAAATGGAGGGGAAGGCTTTGTAATTGCCATGCTGGCTAGAAACAGGTTTAGTTCTTTTATGCAGTACTCTATTGTGAAAGATGATATTCTGTGTTCTGGGTAGGCAGATGTGATGGTTAATTTTATGTGTCTACCACACTAGGCTATGGTGCCCAGTTGTTTGGTCAGACACTAGCCTAGAATCTGTTACAAGTGCTTACATGTGATTAAATAAGTTGGATATAATATGGATGAGCCTCACCTAATCAGTTAAAGGCTTTCCAAGCAAAAAGGGAGTTTTTCTAGGTTGTGTTCTGCCTCCACATTATAAATAGGCATTTTGCCAGAACTCCCTTATGTTTTACTCTTCCTATTACCTGACCTATAGATTTTGAGACACAAATCTGCAGGTATCTCTGGCCTCTCAGATTTTGGATTTGCCAGTCCCTACAATCATGAGAGCCAATTTCTTATTTTTTTTTCTCTTTTCTGTCTGCATTTATGTGTGCATATCCCACTGGTTCTGTTTTTCTAGAGAACCCTGACTAAGATAGCACCTGTTCTGCAGAAAAGCTGCTTCACATCGACCTAGTTTCTGTTGAGCTGTAACATTGTAGAGTCCCCAGAGGCACTGGATTCTTGATGATGTGGAATCATTTTTAAATGCTGGGTACAAAAACCAGCCTTACTAATGAAAGGATATAATGATATTCATACAAAATAAAAAGTACAATATGATCTAACTGAAACACAGACTGATAAATCATTACAAGTATATCTAAAAAGATACCCACAAAAGATATTCACAGAAATGTTATCTGTGGTATCATTAATTTTATTAATCATTGTTTTTCTTCCTTTTTTTTTTTCTTTCTTTGGGTTATCTGTTCACTTCTCCAAGAATAAGCATTTATTACTTGTTTCATTATTTAAAAATTACATTTTTGAAAAGGACAAAAATAAAATGGATAATAACTAAAGACCCTTTGTCCTCAAATACCATACTTAAGTGCCTCCCAAGTAGTCTTGAATTCCTGAGATAAGGCATTATTTCCAAAACGCTCCCCATTTTAAAACATCAGTTTTTCTCTAACACATTGATACTTCCTAACACTGGTTACTGTAGTGATTCTCAGACAGTGGTCCCCAGACCAGCATGATCAGCATCACCTGGAAACTTGTGGGAAATGCATATTCTCATGCCCCACCTCAGAAGCATTGCTTTAGTCAGCCTGAAGACCAGCTAGGTTTGGGGACAACTGCTCTATGCCACTTATGGTGTCCTCTTGGGAACTGTCATGTATTTTCATGGCACAAGCCAGGGCTGGGTAACTGAGTTGATGGGATTTTGGTGGGGAATTGGAAGAGGTGTTAGAATATGGTACTTAGAAGTCTATGCTACTGTCATCCATAGCCAAGGAAAGAGATAAGCTCTATGGGGTCAGGGTTCACAGCAGGCCAGAGGATGTGCTCAGGGAGGGGCCTGGGTGTATGGACTTGTAGAAGAAGCACAAACAAGCTGTTGTTGTTGTTGTTGTTGTTGTGTGCCGTCGAGTCGGCCCCGACTCATAGCGACCCCTCCTTGGGTTTCCGAGGCAGTATCACTACAGA